ATATAAAAATCTATTATAAATTAAATTTCTATTTAAATCCCTAAAAAGTTCTAATATAATATAAAATCCTATAAAAAAATCTATTATAAATTAAATTTCCATTGAAATTCCTAAAAAGATCTATTATAATATAAAATCCTATAAAAAAAATCTGTTATAGATTGAATTACTATTTAAACTCCTAAAAAGATCTATTATAATATAAAATCCTATAAAAAAAAAAATCTGTTATAAATTAAATTTCCATTTAAATTCCTAAAAAGACCTATTATAATATAAAATCCTCTAAAAATCTGTCATAATTTCTAAGTTCAACGTACTTCTTTACCCAATAAATCTAACGAATCGATGATAACGCAATAACGTGAACAAATTCTTTAATCCACCAATTTTGTTCGCACAAATCCATAAAATCCAGTCTATCGTCACCGCATACGAATTCAGCAGCTTGGTAGACGCAGCAACGATACACCGATTTTCGGAGAAATCGTACTCGACGATCATTTTGTTTTTCGTTCTCTGTGAGAGACATAGAGAGAACCGTGCGCCGTGTTTCCCGTCGCGTTATCGGGCCCGGCTGGCAAAAAAGATGATCGGGACAAGTGCAGCCGGTCAAGCGCAAACTGGAATTTGTTTCTCGGTTTGTCGAGGCCGGGACACTTGTTCCCGTGATTTAATGCCCGCCGCGTAAAGTAAATATATTTCGCCGGTAACGACGACGACAACGACGCCGGCATCGCCGAAGCTGGATCTCCAGTCAGGAAACGTGTAATTACGGGGCCCGCGGCTAATTAATAATAATCATCCGCGGATCGGCGTCCGTGATAAAGCCTGTATATTATCGCGGCGGCGGCGGCGGCGACGGCGGTGCAGTCCGTGCGCCGATGCAGTCGCTTGTAATTACGTTCGCGGTGCAGAAGTGCCGATACCGGCCGCTGTGTTCGCGCGTATTTATCTCAATTAAAATTGCCGGCTCGCTCTGGAAACCTCTACGACGATTGCTTGTACGCCGCCTAGATCCGGCGTATTAATCAATTAAGAGGAGCCCACGGTGGACGTGGTTGTAATTAGATCCGGCGAGCATCGCCGCTTGTCCGTGGGATCGATTTCGACAACGCCGC